TAGTACAGTAGCCAGAGACAGAAAAGTGAAAAGGTTCAAAAGAACTTTCATCTCCCCATACTTTGCTTACCATGCGGATCATTATGAGCAGATCATTAAGAGAATAATATTTTATAATTGTTTTCTTTTTACTCATTTAGTTCTATTTTAGGTTATTTTAGTTCATTTCAATTCCCTTTGTTTATTGGTATTTTTGATAGACTCATAACCAGGGATGGCCACTCAGTAGCTGGTAACTGGTTAACCAATAATTGCTCACTTATCAGTTAACGGACTGGTTAACCGGAACCATTCCCCCCTCTCCCCTCAACATGCTTTGCATTTAAAACTTGGATCTGCAGGCTGGCTCAGGCGGGGTGGCAGAAGACTCCTGGGAGTGAGGCCGGGAGGGGAGACATAGCAAACATGCAAACTTAAATTAGTGGGTTGCATAGAAGCAAAGTAATAGTTACCTGCCATGGTTGATTGAGCCCGATCTTCACTGCAGAGATGTTGTACTTCTATAATAAATTGAACCATGAATTATACTGAAACTCATCTCTGAAAGTTCCAGTGTGTGCACTCTTTCGTTTAAACGTGTGCATATGACTGATACTGGTTTTTTCTGCCCATTCTCCAAAAGCCAAATTGTCACTCTGGGAAGTGTTGTTTGTTGGGAAGTACAGAACTGTCCGCGAGACGGTAGCCGTATTGCAACTAGTATATGGTACAGGTTAATTTTTTGTCATGGAATATTGTTGATGCTAACCTTTTTTTGTGGCCCCTTAGGGCCTACAAAGGGTGATGTTGGTTTTTTTTCATGGAATATTGTTGATGCTTAGGGCCTACAAAGGGTGATGTTGGTTTTTTGGGGGGAGGGGATCCCAGCTATGTGAAGCTTTTCGATATTGCCCTCGTTCTTTGCAGATTGCTGTCATTTTTTAATGACAGCACTTGCAAGTCTAAAATCACTGAATTCCTTCTTTTGAAATGAGACCTCAGTTTCCTTACTTGCTGTCTGTTGAGGAATCGCACAGAGCTCATTGACGCCAGATAGGCGAAAACTGAAAAATCTGCTCAATTTTCACTCTTCTGCCTCTTGCAGAAGGTCTGGGAAGCCAGGGAGACACTGGAAATGTCTGCCGTTAGACTGCCAATGTGGGGCTGCTTTTGAAAGGTCTGTTTGCAGTTGGAAAGTACCCTTTGCTTTTTAATGAAATCTTTAATTCTGCGGGAAGTTATGGCAATTGTCAAGAAAAAAATCCAAATTTGGCTGGACGAATAGATTTTTCAAGACTTGGATTAGGGATGTAATAATGTAGCTGATTAACCAATTAACTGATAAGCAAAAGCTTATTGGTTAATGCCATAGACTACACACATTTCCCCCCCTCTGGTCAGTAAATTTGTTAGCAGGCTGGCCAGCAGCTTGACTCAGTTCCAGCTTGCACTGGGTCCAGGACCTACCCCTGCTGCAGCTCTGCTTTTAACGTGTACTAGGAGCCAGGAGGGCAGGCAGCCTGGCTCCGTTCTGGCTCACGCTGGGTCTAGGAGCTCAGACCCGCCTGGACAGAGGCGGTTGCTGCCACCCTGTGTTGCTGCCTCTTTATCAGAGGCAGCAGCGCGGAGCGACAAGCAGCTGGTCCACAAGGGGAGCTGGTTTTTAAACTGGTTACCATTGCAGATCAGTTCCCCATTGGTACCCCGTGCTGCTGCCTCTGTATCAGAGTGACAAGGGGCTTCTCAGGAGTCAGGCCGGAGCACACTGGCTGTTGGTTCCACCCCCGGGGATGATAGGATAGTCGAATAACCGGTAAGAATTCATGAGGTTAATCAATTAACCAATAGTTTCTGTCTTTCTGAGTAATACATATAAGGTTTTTCTTAAAATGCGATACCATTAATGGATATTTAACATCCCTACCTTGGATTAGACTATAGTACTATAACTTTCCTGAACTTTATTTACTCTGCTAATAGCAGGTTATCATCTTATATGTTATTTCAGTTTTTGTCTTTCTGAATAATATAAACAATTTTTTCTTAAAATGCAGTACCATGTTTCTAGTTAAACATGAAATGGTTAACGATTTTAATTGTCTTTAACTAGGACACACTTGTGCTTAAGATTCTGAATTTCTACTTGTACGGCAATGCTACAAACTTGGGAAAAGAGAATTTGTATTCTGACAGCGAGGACCACTTGTGCTTAAGACTCTGAATTTCTACTTGTACGGAAATGCTACAAACCTGGGAGAAGAGAATTTGTATTCTGACAGCGAGGACATGGTCAAACAAAGTGCTGCTCTCAGTTGTTACAAGCCACAGGTGAGTCCAAAATAATTGCTTGCTTAAATGAATCATAGGCAGCAAGGCAGGGAGGAAGCAGTAGCTGGTGCTGGAGGAAGCTGGCTTAAAAGCCGTTCCCCCCCCCCCAGCACCAGCTTTGCGGTGCCACCTGCCCTCCCACCTGTTCCACGACTGTTCATTTATCTGATATCTAACATCCCTAATCTCTCCATTTGGATCATTGTACAGAAGAGTAATCCTAGATTTCTACAGCAGTCAACAATTCCATGTCTAATCTGGCCTCCACTGCCTCTAAAGATGATAATCGCATGAGCTTCTTTGGTAAGATATTTTGAACAATAGTCACAAGAGATTGTTACCACTAAGTTGCTCATTGGCAGCATGGCACGTGTATGGATTTGCAAAAAGAAAGTTTTCAGAAAGAAAAATATTGCCCCTTGAGGAAAAAAAAAGAGTTGCCCTTTTATTGTTGACTTGCATAGTTCACTTACACAGACTCTGCACGTTGGAAAACTGCTTACTCTCTTTTTTCCAATTCAGGTAAACATCAAGAAACAAAAAATGGACACTCAAATATTCTCCCCGCTACTAGGAGGGATCACAAGTACATCACCACCTCCGGAATCATCCCGGTTACATAGTAATTGGTCTGTGTGTGGAGATAATACCAATACAGCAACTTCTTTACAGGACTGTACAAAAAAAAGGTATTAAATAACAATAATCTTATACTGTTTTCTGAAAGTTTAATTGGGCAGGAGTTGTGAGGGTTTGGTTTCCAAGTACTGTAAAGAAGAAGTTGTGGGATAACTATAGAAACTCATGGGCAATAAATTACCTGAGCTGAATAGTATTTATCAAATAAGGTTGGAAATCATAGCTGTATTTTATTAATAAAATGTTCCTTAATAAATGTCATTAATAAAATGACACAAAAGTTCCTTATGAGGGAACGTAATGGGCAAGTTAAATATCAAAATATCAGACAAATCTTTCTCTTTAAATAACGGCAAAAATTTGCCTTTTGAAAAGGCCTCCTTGTTACATCATGTCATTCTGACCCTTTTTGGTGGAAGAGGCTGGTTCCTTCCTCTGGTTCCTGAATACTACAAATAGATCAGAGGGTTCTCGAATGGTTTGGCTCGCATCCCACCCTGCTCAACACAAACCTTTCTGCTGACCACCAGCCAACCACCCATGACTAAATGAGTGTAGGAAGAGGGGTGGATGTGAGGTCTTGGTTGAGGTAGTGTGCAGGAGTGGGCTGGGTGGGATCTGGGTGGGAGGGAGGGTGCAGGAGCTGACTGGGAATAGAGGGTGTGGGTGAGAGGGAGGATGCAGGAGTTGGCTGGGAATAGGGGTTCTGGGTGGGAGGGGGAGGGTGCAGAGGTGGGCAGCAGGTAGGGGGTCTGGTGGGAGGAAGGATACAGAAGTGGGGTGTGGGTGCACAGTCTAGGCAGGAGGGAGGGTGGGGATGTGGGATCTTGGCAGGAGGCAGGTGCATGAAGACGATGGGGGTGCAGGATCTGGGCATGAGGTGGATGGGGGGGGCTCTCTTGCTTGGTTCCGCACCCCCACCTCTTCCAGGCACTGTCCCCGGCTGCTCCCTTCGCTGGGATTCCAGTCAATGGGAGCAGTGGGGAAAGCCTCCAGATAAGCAGTTTCCTGTGCTGCCGTTCCCCTAGCTAGTGGGAGTGGGAGCAGCAGCCAATGCAGCTGCCCTCTCCCCCCCCGCAAGGCTCGGGGTTTCCCCCAGCTCTCCACAGCAGGAGGCCTGCGCTTGTGCTCCTTGCATGGTGGGAAGGACTGGACACACAGGACTTCTCGTTGTTTATGCAGATCCAGCGCGGGCATCCCACTGCAGGGAGTGGCCAACCCCTGCAAGATGGTTGTGGACCACCAGTGGTCTGCAGACCACACTTTGAGGGCCACTGAATTAGTCGGGGTTTCCCCCAGCTCTCCACAGCAGGAGGCCTGCGCTTGTGCTCCTTGCATGGTGGGAAGGACTGGACACACAGGACTTCTCGTTGTTTATGCAGATCCAGCGCGGGCATCCCACTGCAGGGAGTGGCCAACCCCTGCAAGATGGTTGTGGACCACCAGTGGTCTGCAGACCACACTTTGAGGGCCACTGAATTAGATGGAGGTGACGTGACGTGTATACGTCATCTGACAGCTTTCAGGGATTGATAGTCTAGTCCAGTAGTGTGCTGTGACATTTTTGTATGTTTATGTTGGATTTTGTAAGCAAGTAGATTTTAAAATGAGGTAAAACTTGGGGTATACAAGACAAGCCAGATTCCCGAGAGGGGTAGAGTAGTCTGGAAAGGTTGAAAACCAGTGACTTAGTGGTTCTCAAACTTTTTGGCCTGTGGCCCACTGAACTCAACACAGACTTTTCCATGGACCACCAGCCAACCACCCATGATGACAAAACTGGTACAGGAGCAGGCTGAGGGTGGGAGGAGTGGGGTGGGGTAGGAGGATCTGGGAGGGAGGGTGCAGGAGTGGGGTGGGGGTGCAGGGTCTGGACATGAGCGGGACGGGGAGGGCGCTTACTTGGCTCGGTGCCTCCCACTGCACTACTCCCCACTTGTACTGGCTCCTGACTGTATTAGAGGCAGCAGTGCGGTGGAGGAAAGGGGGCTTATGTGTAACTGTGAAGGATAACCCATGAGCCCAGGTTCATCAGTTAACTACAGGCAGTCCCCGGGTTACGTACAAGATAGGGACTGTAGGTTTGTTCTTAAGTTGAATCTGTATGTAAGTCGGAACTGGCGTCCAGATTCAGCCGCTACTGAAACTGACCGCCAGTTCTGACTTACATACAGATTCAACTTAAGAACCCCAAGCGTCCCCAAGTAAGCTGCTGCTGGAACTGAT